TTTCAACGATTTAAGATAGTTGGTTTTGAGATAATGAATAGGTTAGATGCATGATTGAGACGCTTAACAATAAGGAGTGTTGATCTTGGTAATTAAAACAGCTGAGGATTTCTGTTCTGGCATGTAATGAGTTTGTTGGAGATTATTAGTTGAAATGATATTTTATGTAATTGTTTCTTTAGATAAACATTTAGATAAAAGATAATCCAGCTCATTAAATAATGGTTGCAATACATGCATTTCAGTTCATTAAATTCTTAAGATCCTTGTTTGGGGGTTCAGTTCAGTGGTAGACCTGGGTTTGATTCCCAGCACTGAAAAATGGGGGAAATGACAGTAAAGGAGGAAAACTAAGAGTACATGAATTAGTTTCTCTGAGAAGTGATTTCCAAGTAACTGTTCTGTTTTGAATCTTTATTACCAGAATTTCTTCAGGACAACTACCCCGATTATGATCTAGAAGAAACTGGATATTATTGGAAATTGTGTGTGACAGCCATCAACATCTGTCTCCAAACTCTTAGACAAGACCCAAGATATTTGATTTAGTAATTTCTAGCTTTCTAATGCCATTACTAATTTCTAGCAGCAGCTCCTTCCATGGAGTTGACCAGAGTCTGATTAAACTAACTGAAGCACTTACCTACTGATTTTTCTAAAACAGATCATTTCTGTAAGTTTCTGAAGTTGTATTACTATAATTAACCTGTCATAATGACAAAATTTTGAATTGACAAAATATCTTCTGCTTTCAAGAAATACTTTTGTCTCTGGACAAAGTATGGAGCAATATACTGCTGTCTTGAGCCACCAGTTAGGATAATACTAGGAAATACTTTTTTTTAGATTCTTTTATTATTATTATTATTGAAAAAATTCCTGCCTCATCCCCACCCCCCCCCTCCTCTCTCCCTCCCCCACTCCTGTCTCCCTCCCCCCCTCCTCTCTCCCCCTCCCCCCACTCCTCTCTCCCCTCCCCCCACTCCTCTCTCCCTCCCTCTCCAGTCCAAAGAGCAGTCAGGGTTCTCTGCCCTGTGGGAAGTCCAAGGTCCTCCCCCCCTCCATCCTGGTCTAGGAAGGTGGACATCCAAACTGGCTAGGCTCCCACAAAGCCACAAAGTAGGCTCAAAACCCCGTGCCATTGTCCTTGGCTTCTCATCAGCCCTCATTGTCTGCCATGTTCAGAGTCCTGTTTTATCCCAAGCTTTTTCATTTTACAAGGTTATTTGAATATAGATAGAGGGTGGTATACTTAGCACTTAGTGATGGAAGAAAGATGAGTGTAAGCAATACACATGTAAGTAGAGAACTTTAGGACAATCCATAATCTTTTAAGCATAACTCGCATATAATAGAAATTTGCCAAGTGAGTTAACCCTTTAGAACTTAGGTATAAACGGGTTCATTCATAAAGGAGATCTTATTTACTTAAGTCAGAACATCTTGAGTGGCTTTTCTATACATTGTATACAATTATAAGATTGCTGTCACATTTATTTGACCTAAGCCTTTCAGGGAAAAAACCTAGATGCCTTGATTTACTCCTGATAATTCCTTAAATTACCTCTTGATAACATTTTATCATACAAGTTTGCTCAGGTTGAATACAGAAAACTACCAGGGGAGTTGGCATTCCTTTCAGTAACTAAAATTAAACAATGTCTGTGAATAACAAGAATCTTACCAAATTCAGGCACCGAAATTATTTTTGGATTCTGGAATGTCTGGGTAAAAATTTTAATATATTTCCCATTTTCAGATATATTCTACTAGTCAAATGCACACAAATTTAAATTGGCAGTGTTTCATGTATAAGACAACATTGGTCAGAAATTCAGAGAAAAGTGCTCTTAAAGCAGTGGTTCTCAACCTATGAGTCTCAACCCCTTTTGGGGAGGCATATCAGATATCCTGCATATTAGATACTTAAGTTATGATTCATAACAGTAGAAAAACTACAGCTATGAAGCAGCACAACATGCAGAACTGTATTAAAGGGTCACATTAGGAAAGTTGAGAACTACTGTCTTAAAGGATATAGGCATGAATATTGGAAAAGTAAAAAACATCCATCTTGCTCATGATAATATTATGTTTTTTTAAGTAAGTTCCTTGTTATAGAGAAAATTATTGGATGTTTTAGCCACAGGAATAATTCCATTATTTGAATATTTGTGTTTGGGAAATATTTTATTAGTCATAATGCCATCTTTTATCTTTAAACATTTCAAAAATTGTATGCACCCGAAGTAAATTTTAAATTGCTCACTAAACAAAATTTTCTCGTGAAAATTTTCAGTATAACCAAAAATTCGTTCTTACGTAGTTGACCTTGACTAACTTCAGAGTTTTAATATATCAGAGAAAAAATGTAGTGAAAAGTATGACACTGTAAGTCAGTTAAATAGTATAGCTTCTTTGAAGTCCTGTTATTTTCACAACCTGTGAGAGATAGTAATGTTTTTGTGACCAATTATAGAAGGTATACACATGTATGCACGTACACACACACACAAACACAACTTTTTTGAAAACTAAATTGAACATTTGGAGTTTTAGTACAAAGTAGTATGACTTTATACGGATTATTCATGACATATTAGACGTTGTAGATAGCTGTGGAAATTGCTCAGTGGTAGAACACATGTTTACATGCACAAGACTCTAGGTTAAATCCTAGCACCAAAAGAACAAAACAAATAGATGTTTTAAGGTTCTGGCCTCTATATAAATAAGTAAGTAAATAAGTGTTTCCTTTAACTTAACAAAACTATAGTGTTTTATGTACATTTTTATTTTAATGCTGTGCTTACAAAGGTTTTAAAAGTAGAGTTCTAAAAATCTCCTATAATTAGGCAAAAGAATCTTGTTTTTTTTTGTTTTTATTTTTATTGGTTGTTATTGAGCTTTACATCCAAAAGAATTTTGACAAAAATTATTTAGACTCACTCCAGCTTCACCATTCAGTTTAACCTGTTTCACAAATATTGACAGCTCAATAACAGAAATAAAAATCCATGCTATAAACACACATCAAAACTTAACATTGTCCTTCAGAAATATATCCAACTATTTGGTAGTTAAAATACAATTAAAAAGAAAAGTGAAATTATATGCTGGGCAAGAATTAACTCCAAACCTCATCTACAGATTTCAAATTAAATTTGTCCTTTTTGAAAAAAATACAAGATTAAGATGTTCTTTTTTCAGGACATATGACCATTGCTTATATATGTTATTTGGAAAAGTCCTCCAATAACATTTTCTACAGAAATGGAAATACAAGTAACTTAAGTTGTTCATTGTGGTAGTAGTCACCAGGACTATGTAACTGCTAAACATCTGAAAAATTAGAGGAATTAAATTTAAATTTTTGGTGACTAAAATTAAAAGTTAGGTAGGGTTGAATGTCACATTTGATATTTATTGGCTTTTTATTTTGGAATTGGAAGGATTGAATTTTAAGGCTCATACATGCTAGGCAAGTACTTCATTGCATTTCAAGTCCAAACAATGCCCTTTATTTGTATAAAGTACTCAAAATAGTTCCTGTGGTTTGAGATATAACGTGTATATCTTCTGTAAAAATTGTATACTGCAAGATAATTTCATGATGGTACTGAATATTTTATTGTACACTTGCTGTCTTCAAAACTTTACAGATTAATCCTGTTGTGTTAGCTCAATAAATATCTACTAGACTTGCTTTTGATAAGTACATTTATCTTTACTTTTGTTGTCCAAATAAATGTAATGAGTAAGCATTTGAACTATCCTTAACATAAATGCTTTGGTTGCTTTTTTAATGAACACATTTTACAGAACTCATAGTAAGGTTATTTTACAGTATTTCATGTTAATGATGTACTTTTGGGGGGAGGGTGTTTCGAGACAAGATTTCTCTGTGTTTTCCCTGGCTGTCCTAGAACTCGTTCTTGTAGACCAGGCTGGACTTGAACTCACAAAGATCTTTTGCCTCTGCCTCCAGAGTGCTGAGATTAAAGGCATGCGCCACCACCGCTACCTGGCCAGTCAGTTTCATAACTGAGACACATCTAGGATACTTCTTTTTTTGTTAAGCAAATATAGGCAATACACTGTTTTATAGTGAATTTTTACACTATGTTTATAAAACACTTCATTCTCCTTTAAGATGTACTAATTAGCAATCTCAAATAATTTGTAAAATAATCTTGGAAGATAATTGGGCTACAAATCTCAGACCACAGACATAAATGGGCAAGGATTTAAAACTATGTTCTTACAACAACTTCATTTCTGTTTTGAGGTTACATGAGGATTATGAATTTCCTTGGATGGCACAGAAATAACCCAGGGCCTGAGCAGAGGCAGGCTAGGGAGGGTATCAGAAAGTGAAGGCTTTCATGATTGCTTTCTAGGGTTGGGCCTTTCCATTATGGGGAAGATGGTATCAGAATCGGGTTCTCATTTTTCTTAGCTACCATCTGCTGCAGTATTTTTTTTTAATCTCATGTTGTCTTTAGCCTTTGGCTTAAAGTTATTCTTATTTCTGTCTTTAAAACCTGTTTTCCAGCCTCAAAGACATATATACATGTAACATAAACTCAACAGGTTATATTTAAGAATGTCTATAGAAATATAAAAATGCTTGCAGTAAAAACTAATAAAGTCATGAACTTGAAGAAGAGCAGGTAGGGGTATAGTAGGGGTTTGGAGAGAGAAAAGGGAAGGGAAAAGCGAATAAATTACAATCTTAAAAATAAACAAGAAACCCCCATTCTGATCAATCAGATTCTTCCTCTGGCTCCTAAGAACCCCACAAACTCACAGAATTCCTTTTGCTGCTGTTACTTTTTCATCACAGGAAATGGGTTTTGCCTAGATCCCCAGTATAATTGTATATTTCTGTGTGGCTACATACATAGATTGTTGGCCCAATACAAAAATGATGAAATTGTTCTTGGTATTATTTAGAAAGTGAAATTTTTTACTTTTTTTTTCACCACTAAAGGGACATTTATTCTTTTTCCAAATGTTACAGTAAATCCAGGTGGAAGAGAATGGTTTTAGCAGTTAGAAAAAAAAAAAGTACAAATCTGGGGTTTGGCCATTAAAAGTTATTTACAACAATGGTAGGGGAAAAGACAACAAAAAGTTGTTTCACATCACAGACCTCCTCCCGCCCCAAAGCCTAATACTTGCCTATCAAGTCAGGTGGTGGATTCACAAGCTGGAGGTTTGAACTTGAGTAAGACAGTTATAAAACCCAGACAGGGGCAATGTCCTCCCCCAGCCCAGGTGCCACTAGGCACAGCACAAGAGACTAAAAACTCAACAGGGAAAAGGCTGGACACTCAGGGTTTGGGAGTGTATAAGCCCCCACTTCTGGCTCAGGGGCTTCGGAAGTAGAATAAACAAAACGTCTTGGAAAAGAATTGGGGAGAAAAGCCAGCAATTGCCTTCTGCAGGGATGGGGCCTGGGTAGGAAGGAGGCAGGGACAGGAGCATTTCACATCACTAACCTAACTGGGGAAACCGTAAGGGGCCATCTTCAACTGGCCTTAAGAGTAAGACCAGATGGCTGATGGGAGAATCCACAGGAGGGAGGGAACGTGGCTGGAAGGGGACAACAAGCCCCTTCCTTTCTGGGCACAGGATGGCAGCCAGGGCACCGGGTCCAGGCAGTGACCTCACAAGGACAGCACAGTTTTTGCAGCTTAGGAGATCACCCACCTGCCCCCACCCAGCTACTCATTCTGCTCAGCGCTGGCTGATGCAGGGCCACTCTCGGGCCCCGAGGGAGTGGATGGCTCTGCAGCCTGGGGCCCTGCCTCCTCTTCCGTGTCTCCTCCCTTGGAGGCTGCACTAGCCTCTG